ACGTATGTGCTGTTTGGAATCATCTTGAATTTGGCGCCCTTGTCTCTTCTAATCTCACGTATGCAGTGAGCTCGGAGTTGTGTGTCAGTGGGGAAATGATCAAAACTGAGGTATGGTTGTAACTGTTGATTAGTCGAACATAACGGAACGCTACAGTGACATTTATAACATTTACGACATCTACGTTTATATGATGACGGTCTGAATAGAAGACGCAAAAGTGGCGTCGCGTCTTCACTTTTTATTCCGCGTTTAGACGAGCGTTTTTGGGAGGAAATCTGCGTGCACACGGTGACGCAGATTCGATTGGGTATGCATGCCAGGCGGCTCGGTGGTGACGCTGGTGATGTATGTGATGTAAATGCATACATGACGTGAGCAGATCTGACCAGAGTTTTGCGTCTTGGGCAGTGTAGACGGAAACACTACAGCAGAACATATTCAACTTTTCCATTCTGGAGGGTGGTTTTAGATTTTTGCATTTTTAAGACTCAAAAACGCTGTCACCATCTAAACGAAAGCCTTTTCAGATAAAATATTTAGCTGTTTTTACCCGCAAGCGTTCTCGTGTAAACAGGCCCTTAGATGAAAAAAAACTGAGCCTGGGAAGTTGTATTTAATCGCATTTTTCCAAACATCTTCTTGGTTTGTGACGTAAGTGTGAATAGAGCTTGTTATGTGTGAATGAAACAAAACACAACTCCAGGTCTGAGGAAAATTACATAATATGAGCAGTATGTAACTTTTCAGGTGTAGCATCCGATACCTTCTCGTTGCCATGGAGATGTTATTGCTTTGCCTGGAATCTTCCACAGTATGGCATTAATCGAAAATCTATCTTGCATATATTCAATAAAAAAAACAAAAAAACAAAACGGTTTAATTGCTAAAGAAACACCTTAAAAACAACTATTCTTACAGTCAGCAGTATCGCTTCTACACAGACCTGACTTGTAACTTGGTCATTAGTCGTCGTATACTGCTTGTTTCCATGGAGACTGATAAATTTGATGCCACTGTGGAACATTCTAGGCATAACCGTGACTTCAGACACAAGCAGAACCTTCATGAGAAAAGTAACATAGTCAGTGTTGAGGAGTAACAGATTACATGTACTGGAGTTACTTAATCAGAGTACAAATTATGAGTTACAGTTACTGTTTTCAGTTACTTTGTTGAAATAAATGGATTACACTGTGGTATTTTCCTGTTTTCACATTTTGGGCTAAACCAGGACTAAACTAGGACTAAACCAGGACTAAACCAGGAGTAAACCAGGTCTAAAAGAGGTCTAAAACAGGATTTAACAGGACTAAACCATGTCTCCTCCTCTTCTATCAATAATATTTTTAATTTGGTTAAGTAAAGTCTGGGCTTTTCATTTTCTTTTAGCAGAAAAAACATCTTATGTTATGATATCCTAGTCTTTGCTTCTGTACAGCAAACCAAGTAATCCAAAGTATTCAGATTATGTTACTCACTTTAAGTCAGGGGTGTCAAACTCATTTTGGTCCGGGGCCGTATCCAACCGACTTTGATCCCAAAGGGGCCGAATCAAAAAACTCACACCATATAAACCCCAAAAATAACAATAAATTCTAATATTTGTGCAGAGAAACACAAATCTATTACAGAAATCTTTTTTAATTGATGAACTCTTTCTTTTACAAAATATTATAATATTATGAACAACCTGAAACTTGAAACCTGAAAAATGTAATTTCAACACAAAGTTTTAACATCAACTTGTATGTAAACAGGAATAAGTACATTTTTCTTGTAAAATTCTGCACTCTGCGTCCACTTTTCTCATTTTTGACATTTTTCTGATGAGGGTGTCACGGTCTTCATTTGTGCTGCTCTGGTGGGAGGGGCCACGTACAGAGACGCTGGAGACGATGCTGTGATAAACACCACAGAAAATTTACAATATTTTAATAGAAAATATGATTAAAATATTTTAGTAGAAAATCAGCAGAGGGCCAGATTAAAGGTCTTGGAGGGCCGGATCTGGCCCCCGGGCCGTATGTTTGACACCTGTGCTTTAAGTAATTTAATGGATTACGTTACAAACTACATTTTGGGGTATGTAATCTGTAATCTGTAGGGGAATACATGTTAAAAGTAACCTTCCCAACACTGGATATTGGGCGCATAAATTGTGTCAAATTGACTTAAAATTACAGGAGAAAACGGGAGCAGTCTGGATTGCCGTATAAATGAGTCAGGATTGATTTGCATGTGCTAGAACTCGGTGAACTCTTCTCATTAATTTAAATATAATTAGCTGCAGCGTGGATATAGAATAAGCTCTGCGCAGCCCACTCTCTATGGCGTATTTGCTTCCCTTATTAACATAATTTAAATGGCTGAATACATTTGGGTTCAGAGTTTGTTTGTGATCTAACGTTGATCATTTATTTTTATGGCATTTTAAACATTTTGAGGAAATAAGGAGTTAATAATAGCTTTTTTTTTTTTAGTTTATTTGTGATTTTGCTTAGTGCTGTGGTGTCTGTGATGTGATCTGTGGAAGGAAAGGGGTGGTGCACGGTCCTTAAATCCCAGGAAATTGCCTATTGAGAACAGCTTAAGTTTCAAGTCGAGTTCTTAAATCATAACATGTTGCTGTTTTATATAGACAGCTTTATAGTTTATATATTTTACTTTATTTGGAATATGATTATTATAAATTTGAAATAGCTGGACAATTGAAGATGTGCAATTTAAAGGTTCACAAAGCAACTTTTCTCTTGTGGGAGTCACCTTTCCAAAGATCTGACCTGTAACTTGGCTTAATTGTTCGTCCTGCTTGTTTGTCTCCCATGAAGATAGAAAAGTTTAATGCAATACTTTACACTTTACATTGAAAAATTGTCACGTTTCTCTGTAACTGTTGTTTTGAGCCTCGTCATTTTGGTATTAAAATGTCCGTATTAACCTGCTCTACATGATCCTGGGGTTTTTATTTTGCTGTTTTGTCCGTAAATACATACTGTTCCTAGTACTGACCAAGGCTCCGAATTTGCCCTCTAGCCTGATTCATCAGCCGATCTGACCTCGCAGCATTAGGATATGTTCGCTCGACGGCAGGCGGGTACTTTTGTTATTTAACCAATCACTGCCATTTGGTTGTGACGTATGTAATGCGCCAGAACACTCAGTGGTGTCCAAGTAATTGCCAGATTCACAGCTCTTCGCTGATTGGCCAGTGCGACGTCTACAACTTCCGGGGTTCTTGCAAATGTATTGTCAAATGTATTTCGATTCCTGACCTAATCACAGAAGACAAATGGAATTGATCAGAGGCAGCCTGGCTAATTAGCATCATGAACGTCATTTAAATGGAGCTGGACACTATGGGTGACTTTAGACTTTTTAGACTTTGAGTTTTGACTTTTAGACTTTAGACTTGTATTGTCCCCAAAGGGAAATTCATTTCCACACAGACAGAACTCGTTTGGCACATACAGCAAAAAACACAGCACAACACAACACAGACACATTACATTAGACATTACAGTACACTCAGCGGGGCCTAGTGCTTAGAAATGTTATGGCCGCGGGCATGGAGCTTCTGCCGGAGCAGGCCCTCCTGTACCTCTGTCCTGAGCAGCAGAGGGGTGAGATGTTCCTGTAGTGGGTGAGTGGAGTCCTGTTCTATAGAGAGTGCAGTGCGTCCAGTGGCCCTGTTGTTAGGATCTGCACGGTCGGGTGTGGGGAGTCCTATGATTTTAGCAGTTCTGTGTGTTACCTTTGTGAGTTTAGACCAGGGGTGGGCAAACTTTCTGGCTCGCGGGCCACATAGGGTCCTAAAGTTTGACTGAAGGGCCGGACAGAAGACGGGACATAACGTGTTAAGAGCTCAGATTCATTACTTTCTTATTCACATTTATCTAGGACTTCAGACGCGCTACATGTTTCATCACTGCTGTGAAAGATTCAGAACACATAAAACTGTTGAGACCTGTTCCACTGCACACCACAAGTGAATGTACATCGTGAGTTCAAATATGACTCATGACAGCTCAAAAACAAAGCTCACACCAAACAACCACAGACACACACCTGTGACTGTGGTAAAACCTGACTCCAAAATGTTGTACACATTAATAATTACAACTCAGAGACCATAAGTTTCCAACTCAAAATGGAAGCAGTGCAGTCTTATATCTTAAGCACCAACTACTTCACTCATGGTCCGAATAACTCCTGTAAGGACACTTTCCCATAAAGCACTGCGGCCAACATAATACGCTGCAACTCAATGTATATATAGTGCGCCATCTACTGGGAAACGCTGGAAATGCATGACAAATAAAACATCAAAAAGGTTTATTATTGTAATTTATTCCAGTTCGGCGGGCCGGATTAAAAGGTTTAAAGGGCCGCATATGGCCCCCGGGTCGTAGTTTGCCCACTCCTGGTTTAGACCGTTTTTTAACAGTGAGCATATTGAAAAAGCAGGTGGAGCAATACAACATGATGGGCTGGATGATGGACGTCACACTATACTTAGTTTGTGCTGTAGTACTTTGTTGTACTGTTCTTGGTTTGTTTACTCTTACTGTATTTATGAGGATGAACTGGTGTCAAGATGACGCTCTGATAAAGGAATAAAGGGTAAAGGGCATAATAAGCTTAAGCTTCAGCCTACACCTTTTCGGTCTGTGTATGTTAAATATAACTGTCTGTGAATTAATGTCAAAATATACCTGCGACCGAAATAAATAATCAATCAATCAAAACACTATAACACCCCAGGTAAAGCATTAACATCTCCATAAAAACAAACAGGCAGCATACCATTCTCCAGAAAAAAGTACACAGTGGACCTTTAACCTTTTTAAGCACATTTACCAGTGTCTTTCGCCACATTCATGTATTTCTTCATAGTCTGTCTTGTTACACTCTTGCTCCATTCATTCTTTTCCCACAGACGATTGCTTCACTTACCCAGCTACAGTCTTGTTAACTTTGTCTCTTTTTCTCTTTTGTAGGTGTTGGAGGTATCTGTAATTGTGGAGCTCCATCTCTGGGGAAAGCCGGCCGGTTCTTCCATCGAGCTGTCCCCGAATCAGTGTTCCGAATCGGGTTTGGAGAGAACGACTGACCCCATGTTGCTCCTTCTACTTCCTCTCCAGTTTTAACAATGTGAAGAGGAGTCGGAAGAGCCATGTCATCTGCTGTTATGAAGATGGGATTAACTATACATTGAAGCAAGCACATTCAGGTAAGAAGAAATGTTTTTATTTTATTTCAAGCTTTGCATTTATTTGCGTTAAATATTTGGGCGAATGGGAATTCAAAAGTGTGTAACCTGGAAGTTGCAATAATGTCCGCTACAGTTTATACAGATATAGACCAGTTGTTTTGATTGGTTAAGGTGGCATTGATGCTTTTATGTTTTTTTTTATATTTCATTTATTTATTTATACTTTTATTGTTAAGATTTTATACAAGCTTTACCTTGAGGAAGTATAAGTATCTGGTGAGGATTCTTGTCATTTTAAACATGTAATCTAGTTCTTTTTACATTTTTATAACATTATTATTTAGTTTTAGAAAATAATCTTGGATATTTTGAGTTGTTTACATTGTGCTGGGCTATGCATGGATTTCAGAGTGATGACAATCTAGCACGCACTGTTGCCATAGTAATTAACAATTCAAAACTAAATATTTTATCTTCTGAAAAGGCAAAAGTCCTAGAGGGGCGGTCCTAAAGTCCAAGTCCTAGTCCAAGTCCTAGTCCAAGATTAGTCCTGGTTTAGTCCTGGTTTGGTACTGGTTTAGTCCTGGTTTAGACCTGGTTTAGACCTGGTTTAGACCTGGTTTAGTCCTGGTTCAGTCATAGTTCAGTCCTCAGGTCAGTCCTGGTTTAGTCCTGGTTCAGTGCTGGTTCAATTTTGGTTTAGTCCTGGTTTACTCCTGGTTCAATTCTGGTTTAGTCCTGGTTTAGTCCTGGTTTAGACCTGGTTCAGTCCTGGTTCAGTCCTGGTTTAGACCTGGTTTAGTCCTTGGTTCAGTCCTTGGTTCAGTCCTGGTTTAGTCCTGGTTCAGGCCTGGTTCAGCTCTGGTTTAGTCCTGGTTCAGTCCTCGGTTCAGTCCTGGTTCAGTCCTTGGTTCAGTCCTGGTTTAGTCCTGGTGCAGCTCTGGTTTAGACCTGGTTCAGTCCTCGGTTCAGTCCTGGTTCAGTCCTCGGTTTAATCCTGGTTTAGTCCTTGGTTCAGTCCATATACGCTGCAAAATTTCGGCATCTTGGCACAGTTATTTTGGTGAGAGTAACTTAAAAGTACTGCAATAGTAAACTAATACTTTACATTTTAAACACAGTAATATCGTAATGTAACAAATTACTTTGAAATGACCGTGATAAGTCATAAATAACACATTACAGTTTTGAAGTAACTTGCCCAACATTGAATATAACTGAATCCTACATATATATATTCATGTATTCTACTCATATACTCATAATATTGTTAAAAGCTACTGTATGTGTAGTTTTTGACCACCGTACACTGCACATCCTGACTGGTTCACTTTGTCCACTGCCTTTTGTTGTACGCTTGAGTTATTGGAGTCATTATTAGCCTCTTCCTCGATCTGGTGATTCACAGTTTGGCCTCTCAGCGCTGTGTCAGCCTGTTACCGATAGCAACAGGAAGTCTGGACAGAGGTGTGAACACTGGTGAAGCGAGGACAACCGAAGGCAGCTGTAATAGTCAACGGCTGCAGAAAAATACTGAATAATGCAATAAATTCACTTTAAAGGCGCGCTGTGTAACTTTACTGGTTGAGCGTCTGTTGCCGGTTTGTCCCCTTAATATCATTTGCTCTTGTGTTACCTAGTTTTATATCTTGCATTTATTCATTTACTGGCGTTTTTATTAGAGAATTAAAATGCATTCTTACCGTAATGGGCTCACCTCCCCACAGATCTGACTAAGTTTAATGCCAGACTGTGGAATATATAGTGCACCAAAGAGAAGTGCTAAGGCAATATTATTATTACCATATTTTCCAGACTATAAGTTGCACCAACCAAAAAAATAAATAATATAAAATCAGAGACCATGAACTGATATTTCATCTGGGAAGTCAAGTTCTAGTAAAAACAACAGAACAGAGAACAACAAACTGTTAACGTCACATATGAACAGTTCTTCAGATAAACTATAACATAAACAACAGAACAGAACAAGTTTAACAAACTCTCCGTCTCCCTCCAAATCACTAAATCCATTCAATTCTTCATCCTCGGTGTCACTTCTGAGCAACTCGGCCTCGACCTCCGGAGGTAAACAGAGCGCCGCTTCCTCTTCTGTGTAGCTGTCGTCAGACTCAGCATCAGTTCCAGTTAGAATTATTCCGGTCTTTCTGAATCCCGACAGGATCGAGACTCCTGTTTTAGCCTATATTTTGCTAATTACCTAAGTTATTAAGCACTCAAAATAGTAGTAATTGTAAATAGTGTGGGACAAGATACAGTTTTCACAAGATGAGACACAAGACTGGATGTAAGAGAACAAGACAAGACGAGATTTTGACTTACTATAAGCAAATTGTGCAATCAAGTTCCCAGTTTTATCCTCACTGTTTCTTTTATTTTGATTTATTTAATACTTTTGCCGTAGCTGCTTTTTGTGACTGCAGCCTGTCAAAAATGTATCTCATCAGTACTTAACTTTTTACCCAATCCAAATGTAAAAACATGGGAAAAATCACAATCTCACAAGATCATTTTCAGCATGCGTGCACAATCTTGTGGGAATTTTGTCTCGCGAGATCTTGCGGCACGAGATCTAAATCAAACAATGATTTAAAGTAGTAATTTTGAATAGTCATTGCTTTATCTTGAATAAGGTACATTGTAGTCCTGATTTAGTTTGAATAATAGTCTTGATGTAGTGTGGTCATACTACTTGAGAAGACAAATATTTCATGTTTTTCTTGCTTTGAAAAGTTTGAGAACCACTACTATACCACTACTATATACTTGGAAATTACTGTTGCAGCCCCATTGTTAAGTGTAAAAGTCCCGTTATCGATCACGTAGCTAGTTCCCAGATAACATTGTTTACTTAGCCTATCTTTAAGCTGCTGTCAGAGCGAGACTAATGCGTTCACCAGTGCCACACAGTCTGCCTGTATTACGCCAATATGGTATCTAATCCAGGGTTCGGTCAGGGCTGTCCACTCTCTCCGCTCTTGTTTCCTCTCTGCAGGAAGTCAGGCTGGTGGCTGGCTGCACAGGAAACGGCGCGTATCAAACGGCAGCTGGACGCCTGCTCGTGCTTACCCGGCACAAACACGCACAGAACAGGGCTTTTCATGACAAATGTGACCCAGATTTTGCACAGTTTGGATGTCAGCTCAAAGGGAAGCGTAGATTTGCTGGCTTTTAAAAAATTTGTCAGAAAACAGGCTGCAGAAAAGTATTCACAAGGGTTGTCAAAAGCATCGAAAATCAGATACTAATTGAAACTAGATACTCATTTGATATGGATACTACAAAACCACATTCACAGGACAGAAATTAAGCTTTCATGAATAAATTTAGAATGATCTTGAGCTGTTTCAGAACAAATATACTGGACCACTGAGGGATTACACAGATCTAAGACCACATCGTAATATATAAAAGAAAGTACTATGATTTAAAGTTCAAAATTACATTCTATTGTCTAATTATCATTGTGGTATCGGAATTAGTATCATGTCTGTTCCTTAGTATCGAAATTGTGTTTTAATTTGTAGTATCATGACAACACTAGTATTTACTGACAGGTTTATTGTCTTAACTTTTCTCATCACAGCATCACTGACTTACTGTTTTGCCTGGACTGTTCCACAGTATGGCATTAAACTTATTTTATGATTTATTTATTTATTTTGCACATATATGACATGGGACACACTAGATAAAAAAAAAGTGGGTGCTGGAAGAGGCAAAAAAAACTAAAAGTGACATTAAAGGGACAGTTTGAAATTTTGGACATAGGACCTCATTTCCTCGTGAACCAGAGTGTTGGAGACGTGTGGAGACACTTTTTTAAATATTCCATCCAGTCCTTGTATGTGCAGAGGTCACTGGTGCTAGACTAGTGCATGTCAATGGTCATAGTTATCCTGCCACTAAAAACAGTCTTACCCACTCCACAAAACACCCGAAACAAAACTATTATTACACCAGACTGTCCATGTGAATGTCTGTGTCGATAAAATAATGTTTGAAATAAAACTAACCTTGCATCGCATGAACCGTAACATGTTGAGGGACTATTTTCTCATATATCAGTCCGCCGCTGCCGAGCTTTCTGTCAGGAAGTACAACTCACTGCTGCTGCTCAGACATAAATCCTTCAAATGCAAGGTTGGTTTTACTTCTAAAATTATTCTGTCAACACAGACATTTACATCGACAGTCTGGTGTAATAATAGATTTGTTTCGGGTGTTTTGTGGAGTGGGTAAGACTGTTTTTAGTGGCAGGATAACTATGACCATTGACATGCACTAGTCTAACACCAGTGACCTCTGCAAATACAAGGACTGGATGGAATATTTTAAAAAAGTGTCTTCACGCGTCTCCAACACTCTGACTCACTAGGAAATGAGGTCCTACATCAAATTCCAGACTGTCCCTTTAACAAATGAACATTATCACATTTAACACAGCTTGGATTAAATTCATTTGATTCAAACATGGATTAAAATACAGTGAAACATCCACAATTGAATGATTGTCAAACATTAGCATGAAATATCAAACATTTCCTCACACTCACAACGTTTCTGATGCGTCACTAACTAAATGTGAAAACTGACACCACAATTTACAGCCTCTGTGTTGCAGGCAAAACTGAGCTCTTCGTGTGACACATTTTGGAACATGAAGATTACGATTTTGACGAGTTTTGTATCTGTGAACCTCTGCATTTATTTTAAACTTGGTGAAAAAAAAAAAAATGTGTCAACCATTTGATTATTTAAAACAACTGGGGAAGGACATTATAAGTTTTTTTTTTTTTTTTTTTTAAAACTTCATCCTACTCCTTTTGAGCACCAGGTCCCAAATATGTACATGTACATATCCTTTCTTTTTTTTTTTTATTAGTGTTGTTGAGTTTGTCTTACATTGCTCAAATAAAAAAAAAAAAAAAAAAAAAGGGATGCCGGTAGGTCAGATTGGTTCACCATACGAATGCTTGTTTTTCAATGACTGTTTA